CAGATCACATTATAGATGGTTGTGAGCCACCATGTGGTTGCTAGGACTTGAACTCAGGACCTCTGGAAGAGTAGCCAATGCTCTTAACCTCTGAGCCCTCTCTCCAGCCCATAGAGGTCTCTTTCTCTCTCTCTCTTTTTTTAAACATATTCTGTGAGATGAATGAGACTCAAGACTTTAAAATGGTTTGTTACCAGTTTTCAGGCTTTGGGCTAAGATGGAGGAAAAGTGATTCATTTGTGGAATCAGAGAAATCTATAGCTTAGAAGGAAATCTATAGCCATGCCCAAGCTACATAAGTATCAATTTAAAAACAATGGACAGGGAGGCAAAGACAGGAGGATCCCTGGACTTCTTGAGCCAACTAGCCTGGCCCACTTGGCTAGCTCCAGGCCAGTGGGAGACTCCCCTCAATAAAAATGTGGAACAAGACTTGAAGTTGTGCTCTGGCCCCACCCACACATGCACACACATGATCAGCCCTCTACACACATACGCACACAAATTAAAAAAATAAAAATATCAATAACAGGTAGTCAAGCATGGCAGCAGATACCTTTAATCTCAGCCCTCAGGAGACAGAGGCAGGAGTATCATGAGTTCAAGGCCAGCCTAGGTAGCACAGGAAGCCCTTGTGATAAATAAACTTTTCCCCAAGAACACAATGATGGCACAACATTGGGGGGGAGATCTGTCACCACAACTCAGTCTCTTGAATTATGAATGCAAACAGAACACAGAGCTATGTCAGAGCTAGAAGCATCAAGTAGGAAAGCTGTCCACTCTAAAGAAGGTGGAAGCCAGTAAGTCATATTTCTGAAACAAAGGGGAAAAAATAAGACAACCAAACACCTATGCCTATGTGTGTGGGGTGGGGGGTGAACACACACACTTAAGCAAATAAGCTGTGTACATTTTTGTGAATGGCTTAACCTTGTGCCTCCATTTTCCCATCAGTAAAACAGTAGTGATAAACTCCTTACCTCAGAGAGCCAAAGACAAATGAGAAAGCATTTGACATGGTGTCAGTCATTAAGAAGTACTCTGCAGATGCCGCCAATTATAGCTCCCATTTGGAGCAGTCACAGGATGAATCGGAATTGTGCCCACTGGCTCTCCACTTACTGTAACAAAATACCTCTGGTCAACTTAAAAGAAAAAAAGGTTTACCTTGGCTCGTAGTTTAGAAGTTTCTATGCATGGTCTGTCTGTCCTGTGGCTTTTTTTTTTTTTTTTTCTGAGTATCACAAAAGTTTATTTAGCAAAAAGTTTCATATGAAAGTTTACATGACCTAATTCTATATCACAATTAAAGAGGCCCTTTAAGAAGGGATGTGGATGCCTCTACTGAACAGACCTCGTTTAGACTGTGGCTTTTGAGTCGTAAAGAGGCAACTACATCATGACAGGAGCACAGGCAGAGGAAGTGAATCCCCTCACTGAAGCTGAGAGAGAGAGAGAGAGATTGGAGAGGAGACACTGGAGTCCCTTCAAGGCCACATGTTCACTGACCTAAGGTCTCCCAGACCTGCCTCTCAAAGGCTCCACCACCAAGCACATGACCCACTGGGGAACATTCCAAAACTGAACAATAGCAGGATCCCAAACATTTAGAAAGGGGAGGGGATGAGAAAGAGGATGAGGAAGAGAAGGGAAAAGAGAAAGAGAAGAGAGAGAAGAGGAGGTAGAGAAGGGAAAGGGCTGGATTGTATTTACTGAGAAAGAAACGCAAGGAAGTCCAATTTCAGAAGGCCCAACCAACCAGCCAAGTGAGAAGCACAACAATGTCTAAAGGAAATACCAAGAGCAGATGTGCTAAGTCTACCAGCATTTACATCAGTCTGTTCATAGTAAGAACAAAACATCCCCTCCTTAGCCTGTGTTCTGCTCCCTCTGTGGCCTGAGCTGTATTCTCTCCGTAGCCTGGGCTGTGCCACCAACCTTGCTAGAGGGAAGGTGAAGCTATCTTTACATAGATTTGTAGATGTGTAAGGCCTTCACAAGTGAGGGATCAGGATTAGAGCAGACTTATTACTCTGGCTTTATCTTGGGGTAAAATTTTCTTTCTCCTACCATCAATCTAAGCGAGCTTAGTCATCATGGACGCTGGAGGGAGTGTCAGAATTACTTCCACAGGATTTGTGGATGAAGCATCTAAAAGCTGTACCAAGCTGCTTAACACTGAGAAATAAGATGAAATGTAGTTTTATGTTCTGTTTGTTTCTGTAGTGTTTAAATGACTGACATGTATCCACATTGCATTCATAATTTTTAAAAGAGTACGATTATATAAACTGGACCAGTGAGATGGCTCAGCAGGTAGAAGTATTTGCCACCAAGCCCTATGAGCCAAGTTCAACCTGCAGTACCCACATGTCAACAAAAAAATCCACTCCAACAAGATCATGTACATTTTAGTTATTTAAAGCCGTCCAGGAGCCTTTCTGGTTCTCTAATACTAGTTTGCATTCTGAGCTCTTCAAAAAAAAGAAAAAAAGATTTATAAAGCATGCATTTTCTCTAAAACCTATTTCCACAACTTCAATCTGTCACATTTGCCAAGAGCCCCTTAGGATGACACTTTAACTGGAAGACGGAAAGAAGGACAATAGCTGGGCAGGAGCACTTGTCCAGGGTGTCGGAGGCCCTGGGCTGCTGCTCAGCTGAGGAGCCCTCTCTCTGCTGCCAGCTACCCACTGTAAAGGTTTGGATGGGAAGTGTCTGCCACAGGCTCATGTGTTCCAGCACTTGGTCCCCCTTGCTGTCTGAGGAGGCTGTGGAAACTTTGAGGATGAGGGTTCCAGCTGACAGAGGTAGGTCGTTAGGGATGGCCCTTGGAGGCTATATCTGCTTCTGGTTCCCATCCCTTTCCCTGTTTCTGGTCCTCACCACAATGTGGAGAACCCAACCACTCTGCTTCTCCTAGCACCTCAGACAAGCAGTAAACCTCTCCTCCTTTTAGGCCACTTCACTTGGGCATTTAGTCACAGCTGTGAGCAAAGTAACTCTCGTATCAACCCTTAGGCTGACCCCCTATGCATAGCAACAGTCCCTTAGTCTGGAATCAGAATTCTATAGCCTCCTACCCTGACCCCTCCCTCATATCTTCACATTTGCCCAGCAGATTTGCCAGGGAGAACCAGAGGGGAAAACAAATGCAGAGCAGGAGTCCTATCTACAGAGAAGAGACTCCTCCTTGGCACTCAGAGAGGCTTTTCCACTCTTTCAAGTCAACAGCAGCCTCAGTCAGGATCTCTCTCATGAGTCTTGGAGAGAGGGTGGTACACAAGGAGGAGGGTCACATGCAGGATGCCAGGCTGGCTGCAGCTGAGGAAAGTGAGGAAGGATGTGTCCTTGGCTTGTACTGAAATCCCTCTGCCAGGTGGTCAGTGTGGCTCCGATGGCCCACACCAAACAAGCCAATTAGCCCAGACCCCCCACAGGTGATACCCTGAGGATAGGTATGCCTTTCAGTATGGCCCAGGCTGGTTGTCCCCATACTTATTTTGGTCACTGCTATCAGAGAACATAAAATTTTTCTTGTCTAAATAGTCAAGAGTTAACACTGTTGTGGAGGGGAGGGGCGGTGCCTCATTATTTTTCCTTTGCTTACTCAGATCATCACTATGACGGATCTCTAGGTCGTGTTTTCCAAGGACAACACAAAAAGATGATGATTTCTCAGGTGTGGGTGGTCTGAACCTTCTAGCTCTAAGCTAGGTTACAAGGTCTGAATTTGAATTCCTAATGTTCCGTGCAGCGACTTTGTCTGCGAAGGATCTAAAACACCTGCCTGAGCTTGGGTCCTCGTGGTCATGGAGATGGTCCGAGGTGGAGAGGATGCCGTCACACCCCTACCCTCCCACTCCGTTATAGCACTGAGTGAGGTGGGAATCGCAGCCAGTTCACAGTGAGAGCGCTGTTCACTAAGCGTGCCGGGTCAATGCTGGCTACTCTGCATGCTAATTCATTGAATCTTCCAAAAGCGGCTGCTGCTACTGCCCCCAGTTCACAGACAGGGAACATGGGCCTTGAAAGCTTGGTTACTTTCTGCACCTACCCCACCTGTTCAAACAGAACCTGAACCCTGAGATGAGGCTAGAGGCAAGGACCAGCCTAAAGTCCCAGTCCCATGTCTTTGTGCCTCCATCACCCCCATTTTAAGTAGTTCTGGGGGATCAAATTCCAGGGCTTTTGATTCGATAAACTAGGCCTCTACCCACTGAGCTACATCCCTGATGGAATGGGAAAGGAGGGTGAGCTCAATAATAACCCTTCCCCATTCCTGAAGAAGTCATAGTGATACAGAAAAGGACCCAGGATGCTGGGGGACTACGGAATGAGGACCAAGCCTCAGGGTAGCATTTCTCCTCTGCTGCAACATTTTAACAGCCTGAGAAGCTATGTCTGTGGCTACCAGTTAAAAGAAGGTCTTGAACAATTGAGCCAAAGTTCTTAGTGTGGGAGTGGCTGGATGTTTTCTGTAAATAAACAACAGCCGATAGCTTGGGCTTGACAAATGCTACAAATCTTGTCCCAAGTCCCTGATGTACTACAACCTCTGTCCCAAGTTTCTAACACTGTCATTGTAGCACAAAAGCAGCCACAAACAACAGTGAACAAATGAGTGTGGCTTTGACTCAAATGAGCCATGCAAAAACAAGTGGCCCAATGCCTGACACAGGCCTGGCCTTTCATTTTACAGGCTTGTGTTAAGAACTTCCCACTTGTCAAGCGTGGGGCTGAATGGGAGAGACAAGCACGACCACCCATTTACGGATATTTGGGTTGGGGGACAAAATCAGTCTGCTCTTGGGAGTACGTAGGAAATCCAGAGGCCTTGGACTGAGGGAAGGCTCCCTGGGGAGAGATGAAACCATGTTGATTCCTCCACAGCCTGACACATAGATGAGTGTTGCTCCATCACGACAGCCTGCAAAGGTTCCTGCCTTTCCTTGTGGGTTGTCTGTGGTCACCGGCTCTTCTTTTGTGTCCCCCAGTCTCTGAACAGCTACAATGATGGAGATTACGAAGGAGCCAGGAGGCTGGGGAGGAATGCCAAGTGGGTGGCCATCGCCTCCATCATCATTGGCCTCGTCATCATCGGGGTGTCCTGTGCGGTGCACTTCTCCAGGAGGTAAGTAGGCTTTCCAAACCCCTCCCGCTGTTAAGTGCTTTTCTCAAATGCCCGTAGGAATCTGTTGGGTTAGTTAAGATAGGCTCTGAGAATAAAAACAACAGGGTCTTCATGTTTTCTTCATGTTACAGAGACCATGAAGAGCATATGCAAAAATCTCTCTTCCAAGCAGGTATTTCAAGACCCAGGCTGTCAATAACTCCGCTGTATTATAGCAGTGCTACCCAGGGAAGAAGAGATGGATCCAGCTTGACATGACTGTAGCCATCCTGGGTCATGACTGCCACATTTATCTACAGAAATGACCCCATCACAGTACAGATAGACAAAACCATTAACTTTATAATCAGACCCTGACTCGAGGGGTACACCTGACCCTTCAATACCACCCGAAGATAAACTAGGGACATTCCAGCAAGGATGAAGTCACCTTTTCCCTTCTTCTGACCCAAGTTGTAGGGATCCAACTATTCTTGTGCTGCCTGGACCCAAGGTTTGATAAGCCAGTGCTCCCAGCAAAGTGCTCCATGTGGCACATCAGGCCCAGTCCTCACACACTGGGACTAGATTACTCTGGCAGGACAGTAAATATTCTAGGCCTTCCAGGACATGTGCCCTCTATCACTGTCCCAAACACTGAGGTCTGCCACTGGGACACAGCTGCAGCCATAGACAGCATGGGAACCATCGCTGTGGCTGTGTTCCAGTAGAACTTTATTTATAAAAACAGGTATTTTTATCTGCGGGCTATGATTTCCCCAACCTTCATTTCTAGAACAGGAAGTGGCATCAGGCTAAGACAGAGTGAGAAAGATCAGGGAGCCTATATACATTTCCCACTGCCTGAGCAAATGTCACGTAGGCTCACAGTTAGATGACTGAAGCCCGTCACATGGCCCCACCTGGCTGTTGGAGGGCAGGAGACATGAAGGTATAAATGGAGCATCTAGAATTGCTCTCATATCCGCCTTAACACATGTCTGCAAAGTTACATCCTGCATGACTGTGCAGCATACCTCATCAGCTCAAGGGCAGAGGAGCCTTGTGCTCTGGGATCACCTGTGAGCTCTCATCTCACAAGGAGAGGGGCATTGATGCTCATCCCTGGGTTTGAACATATTTTTTCTGACTTATCTGATAAGCTACAACAAACTCCCGCTGACAAAAGCAATGTCACTTTTTGCCAGAGTTTTCACAGAAGAAAAAGACACATAGTGCATAGCCTGGGCCCTGAAATGAGAAACCTAAACCCTGATGCCAAGAACACTTTAGCTTTTCTTCCTGGGCAACTAACTCTTCCTACATCCTTGACCAAAGCACTTTGCCCTGAGGCTGTGAACACCAACCTTTTGTTTTGTTTTGTTTTGTTTGGTTTGTTTTGGTTTGGTTTGGTTTTTTTTGCCTTTATTGACCAAAGAATCTCACATGGTGGAAGAGGAAGGAAGATCCTTAGTCAGGCTAGATCAGCCAGCCCAGCCTTGGCCACTGAGAGGGCAGCTGATGTCACAGAAGATCAGCTTCCTGTCAGAATAGCCAGATCCACAAGCCACGAGGACCAGCTGGCTGTGGAAGCCCGTGTCCTCATAGAAAGTGTGCCCAGCGGAAAGCAGGTGACAGTGTCCAGGGAAGGGAAAGGCAAACTGAGAGCAAAGAGAAGTCAGAATTTCTATTTAGATGACACTGGTGTCCTCATCAAGTTCAGTGAAATGTGATGATGTTGGCCTGAAATGCAGAAAAGATGAGAATACTGGAGAACAGATGGGACAAGTGAAACTTCATTCTTAAAGAAAGCACTGTGAGCGTGTGTGCGTGCGTGCGTGCATGCGTGTGTGTGTGTGTGTGTGTGTGTGTGTGTGTGTGTGTGTGTCTGTGTGTTTGTGTGACTCTGAAGCACGGCTAATAGTACAGGCTTGGTGCCAGACTGCCTGGACCTAGGTCCTCACTTACTCCAAACCAACTGTTTACCTTTCTCAGACCTCAGTTTCCCCAGCAGTGGAAACTGAGATAGTCCATGAAACTATCATAAACATTAAGTAGGTGACAGAGCATGTGTGCGGTTTGGTGGCTGCTTCTTAATGAAAGCACTGAAAACGCAGACCACTCTCCGAAGTTACTGTCACTCTCACTATACACACAGCAGGAGAGGGCCTTGGATGTTAAGGGGCCACTGAAGAGAGTTCAGGACTGTGTAACCATGAGCCAAGCTCAAAGGACAGTGTTCCGGGGGAAGGAAGCCAGTCTTGGTTTCATTTCTGAGGACTTGTGAAAACACACACTGCCCAGATCAGACTTCGAGCTAGGTGGGTTAAAGTCATAGCAGCTGTCACTGGCATAGATCCTGCCACACCCCGGGCAACACTCAGAGTTCGAATGAACACTCCAAACAACTCCAGAGGTATTGCCATGTTGCAGAGAAGGAAGGCTGAGGTTCAGGGCGGTGAGGTGACGTCTAAAGTTTTACAGGTTGGCAGAAAGGTGGGTTTAATTGCAGCCCTTTGTGCTGGGTTCCTGTGAGTCAGTGTCTGTGTGCGAGTGTGTATGCATGTGTGCTTCACATGTATGTCTATGTGTGCACAGGTGGATTTACCTCTGCAGGTCACGTGGAAGTCATGGGTCGATGCTGGGCTGTGCTTCTCATCACTTCACCTTACTGTCAGAGACAGACTCTCTCACTGAACCCAAACAGATGTCTCTGCCCTCAGCCCTGGGGTGACCAGCTCACACTGCCACGCCTGGCTCTCCTGCTGGTGCTGGAGATCTGAAATCATCCCTCCACAGCAAGCACTGAGCTGTGTCCCTGGCCCCGGAGCTGGGCTCTTAACTGCAACCTCACACCACTTCTCCATCAGTGCCTCCTTTCCTGGTAACAGGGAGAAAGTTCTTGCTTTACGGTCCGCTCCAGCACTCATTGATGGGGGACGTTCCGTGGGGTTTGTGATGAGTCAGAGCCAAAGCTCACAGCTGGCGGAGTCCAGCAGGGCCATACACAAATGTAGTGCGCTGGCTGAGAAACACTAAGGAGAGGTGGAGACTGTGGTGGGGGTTTGAAAAGGAACAACCATCCCCTGGGACATTGATCCCCTTTAAAAAGGTGTTAGAAATCTGATTTAGATGTTGACGACCGTACTGTTTAGACCCATAATAAGCACCAAAACCCAAACATAAAATGACGACCACACCTGGAGGCTGGAACCCGTCTACTCGGCATTCTGAGGTGAACATTTAGCTTTCAAACATCAGATTGCCAGAGCTGGAGAGAACGCTCAGTGGTGAAGAATGCTGCCTGCTCTTTTTTGGTTGTTTGTTTTCCTTTTTTTTTTTTTTTTTAATACAACGTTTCTCTTTCAGCCTTGGCTATCTCAGAACTCACTCTGTAGGCCAGGCTGGCCTCAAGCTCACAGAGATCTGCCTGTCTCTGCCTCTCAAGTGCTGGCATTACAGGCGTGAGCCGCCGCCACCACCATTGGCTGTGCTTCCTGTTCTTAACCAGGAGCTAAAGTTGGTTCCAGCACCCACAATGGGTAGCACACAGCAGCCTGCAACTCCAGGGGCATCAGACACCTTCTGATCTCCACCAGCACCTGAGTACATATAACATATACACACACACACATGTGCACATACTTTAAAACAAAAAAGATGTTTGTCCCTAAGATAACACCCAAGTTTTTTGAATAGAGGATCCAAAAGCCATCACATATGAGGACTTTCAGTATTCATGTGTGTGACAAGGCACTGATATGTGCATGGTTATGGTTGAAGCTTTCCTGGTATAAATAAAAACTATGAATTGGAGGTCACCCCTCCATTCCTTCTTCCTCAGGGGTTGTGGCTCACAGTGGTTAGAGCATGGGTTTTGGCATCAGTTTTGCCCAGATTCAAATCCTAGTAGTGACCTGGCTGGCTGCAGTCCGGGTGCAGAAGCAAGCGTATCTCTGGGAGTTCAAGGACAACCTGTTCTGCATATCGAGTTCCCAAGCTACATAGTGAGATCTTATCTCAAAATAAAACCTAGAACTGACACACAGACCATCTAAACAAGCTGTTAAATTCTCGGACTCTTTTTTTCCCTTCCCTCAAAATAAGACAGAATTATCTTCCTATCTACAAGGCCAGATTCTTTTGAATACATCTCTTTCCAAGTTATCAAAGAAAACAAAAGAGGGTTTCCCGAGTTAGAATCCCAAGGAGAAACTCAAATGATTCATGGCACTTCACAGAGGTGAGGGCTAGTCCAGGCTATGTACTAAGAGCCTGCCACAAATAAATAAATATTTTGTTTTGTGAATGAGACAGAGAGAGAAGCCCACAGAGAAAGAAATCAACTGCATCTTCATCTTCCAGTAAGCTAAATAATAGAGCCAATTTCTCTGTGATCCTTTGAAATAAAATACCCTAGCTTGACTTTGAAATGAATTGCAATGTGAAACTACTAGGACAGAGGTTCCCAGACTTTGGACTGCCTAAGGGTCACCTGGAGAAGTTTAAAGACATTCTCATCCCATATACACCTAGAGGATTCCAACTAGATGGATCAGATAGCAGCCTGGGAATCTGCATTTTTTTTCAGCTCTGAACTCTCTTCCTCTCCCAGTGTTTAATAGAAGCCCAGTGGCTCAATCCTGGCAGCCTTCTTCCTCCAAAGTCCAAAAGGAGAAAGCACAGGAAGGGAAGGCCTCAGAGTGCAGTCAGCTTTACGTAAGCTAGATCACTGTCCTAGTTCCTTCTAAGTCAATGCCAAGAAGGAGAGTAGGGTTACGGACTAGCGTGTATCCCCACAGCAGGTTCTGTTGTAACAACCTACAAGCCAGCAAGGACTTCATGGAAGGGCTGGGGAAATCCGTCTACAGAGAATAGCAAGCCTGGGGGAGACAAAAACTCATGAATGTGAGAACTTTCTGAGTTTAATTCAAAACTCCCCTTGAAAGAAAAGGGTTTGTAAAAACCATATATGTCTTCAAAAAACAAGGGAGCCAGGTATGGTGGCAAACTTCTTTAATCCTAGCACTCAGGCAGAGGTAAGAAGATCTCGGTGAGTTCAAGGCCAGTCTGGTCTCTATGTAGATAGAAGCTCCAGGACAATCAAGACAACATAGAGAGACCCTGACTCAAAACAAACAAAACAAAACAAGAAGGGCTGGAGAGATGGCTCAGTGGTTAAGCTCACTGGCTGCTCTTTTGACCTGCTCTTTTTTTTACCTGGATTCAATTTCCAGGACCCACATCAGGTGGCTCACTGTCTGTAACTCTAGTTGTAGGGGATCTGATGCCCTCTTCTGGTCTCCAAGGACACTGGACTCACATGCAAATATACACACACCTATAAATAATAATAATAATAATTTTTTAAAAAAATAAATAAAAATTGGTCTTGGTAGCTAGCATGTTGGTATAGGTCTGTAACCCCAGCACTTGAAAAGCAGTGAGATAGAAAGGTCAGAAGTCTAAGGTCATCCTCAGCTACATAGGAAGTTCAAGATCACCCTGTGCTATATGAGTCTCTGTCTCAAAATAAATAAATAAATAAATAAATAAATAAATAAATAAATAAATAAATAAAAACAACTTAGAAATTGATGTGGCTCAGCAGTAAAGTGCCTATTTGACTCAAGGTTTAGTCCCTGGCACTGAAAATATTATCATTATTGTTTATTATTATTATTATTATTATTATTATTATTATTATTATTAATTTATTTAGCTAGTCTTTATCCTTATCAAGAAAATAATCATGATGGAGTATGGAACTCAAATGATTGGCATCTTCATTGTATTTCTTTAAACAGTCCCAAGTCATGATAGCCTTTAAGCAAACTCACAAAAAGTTTTCATCCAAGTCTACAGACTACCTAAGTAAGTCACATGATGGTGAGGGGTGGCTTCATGTCATCAGATTCAGAAGGTCTGGGAATTGTGCAAACTTCCAGTGTTTTGCATACAACAATGTCTTGTAGATGGTTCTGGTCCAAACAGCATCAGAAACTTAAGTCTCTCAAGTCAGGTACCTTCTCTGTCCTCAAGCTGGCAGGAAAAGTGCAAAGATGAATCCCTCAGATGAAAGGCAGTATTCCTCCTCCTGAATATATGCAAATCCCTGACCTAAACCACCATGTCTTCAGGGTTTAGCTTTCTCCTGAGTACCTTAAAGATTCAAACAAGGCTGGGCTATTCTCTGAGGTCATGTTTTCCAAGGCACACTCAGCTCTCAGACCGCCTGCAACAGATTCAGCTGGGGAGGGGCGGGGCTTGCCAATGTAGATCTCCGAGTCTCAGACAAGCCCTGGAGTGGTCTGAAAACAAGAACAGGCTCACAAGGGATTAATTCTAAGTATTCTAACATCCCAGGACTACTGTCCTACAGTTTTTACTTAAGGAAAAGCATTCTAGCCCGCGGGCATGTGCCATAAAACCAAACTGTTTATGTGCCTAACAGAAGAAATAAAAACATTCAAGGCAGCACACTTCTGTAGCCACAAGTAGGTTGATAGAGTACCCACATAACAAGCAGTTCTCAGCAAACACCAGCTGGGTGTCTTGCAATCCAGATACCCCCTATCAGGAGGTAAACCTCAGATTAACTATGACTCTACCTGCTGGAAATCAGGGCTCCAATAACAGACTCCTTCTGTTTGTTAGTTGGTCACAGAACTAGCAGAAACACTAACATGTATTTATTTGCCATGAAGAATATCACTAAGAAATATAGGTGAGC